CTTCTAAAGCCTTGTTTCGCTTCAGTAGCATTACCCCACAGGCCTCCAAGTCTCCTTCAGTTTTTAGGGCTAAAACCTCTACCTTGAATCTTTTTTGTAATTGCTCTTATCTCAACTCCAGGCGTTTACTGCATTAACATAATCTTGAACAAAGTCTTGACAAAGAATGAAACCTTTTAGAAAACCCACCCTGCTTTTAGTCTCCACGTAAGCAGAGAAGTCTGGCACAACGCTCTGTTGGGCCATTCTGGAAGCATTTGGGGGCTCCAGGGATTGTGGAGTGAGGGGTCATCATAACCTGCCTTCTGTCTCTTGGTCCAGGTCCATTACTATGAGGATGGCAACGTCCAGCTGGTTAGTCACAAAGACATCCAGGACTCTGTACAGGTGTCAGTAAGTGTGCTAAAAGTTCTTTTTCTTACCATAAGCAGCTGTTTTATTCCTTAAGCAGCTCACAAAGCATACACTGTTGTGACTGCATTCTCTTGGCTTTGAAGTAATTGTAGGATAATAGTCAGGGTAGTGTTTAGAGTCACATGGGAATCCCAGATGCCCAGCTGCCTAAAGTTTGACCTTACTAGAAAGGTTATGAGTTTGGGTTAAAGAGGACAGAATATGCTTTCCTATCACCATGCAAGGTGATAGAAACACTAAGAGACATTAAGGGAAATTAAGAAAGTTCTGTAGTACAGTAGAGGGAGCAACAGCTGCAAAATCCCCTATTTTACCAGGAAGATCCACTTTCCTTTTGCTCACTAGGGTGCAGCCCTGTTCCAGTTTGGAGCACAGGCCCTACCCAGGATGTAGCAAGTGAAAGGAGCCCAGCTACAAACACGAGCTGCTGGTGTTACCCACTTCACCTGTGCTCAGCCTGCCACTTGAGAAGAAATCTACTGTGTAGCTTTTGGAGATTGCTCTTAAACACGGGAAAATGTATTTTTCTCCTTTTTACAGAGTGATGTCCAGACTGCTAAGGAGTTTATTAAGATAATAGAAAACGCAGAAAACGAGTACCAGGTAAGATCAGTGCTGGTTAAATAAACTGTGGAATCATATCAGTCTGCCTTTACAGTTAATGGAAAACCAACCTCTGATTCTGTTTCTGGCTGAATCTGGTGTTGACTAAGAATTACTTAGAATAAAGGGTTACAAGCCATGCCTGGAACAGGCATGGGAGGGGAGCGGGTGAGTCAAAGTATTTTCCTTTGTGACAGTTAAAAATACCCAAGAGAATATTTATGCAACAGGTTTTTACATTGTCCCAACCTGTGTGCAAGGTGACTCAAGAGAGATAAGTCAGTGAAACACCTAAGGAGATGCTGTTCAGTCACCCTTTCACTTTGACACACACTGGTGGCTGCATTATTAATTTAGTTAATAGTGTGCCTTCACCTTCTAGGAAGGGGGTTGTGGCTTCACCACTGAGCTGTGCTTTCTCAGAGTGTGTTATGACTGGCCTGACCAAAGTGCTTGCCCTTGCAGACAGCAATCAGTGAGAACTACCAGACCATGTCAGACACCACTTTCAAAGCCTTACGCCGGCAGCTGCCCGTCACCCGCACCAAGATCGACTGGAACAAGATCCTCAGCTACAAGATTGGCAAGGAAATGCAGAATGCCTAAGGCAGGAGCAGGGAGGTGTATGAAACAAAAACAAACAAACAAATCAAAACAAAACGTGGTCCTATGCCAAGTAGATGGTTCCTAAACCAGAGCAGCATTTTTTTTAGGGCTTTCAAAGTTAACAGGTTTTCTAGCCTCAGAGGGAACCGTGGAACAAATAGCCTTGTCTTTGTGTTTTGTGTTTCCTGCCACGTGAACTTCCTGTTGTAATGCATTTAATAGGTCATTTGAATTCAGCCAGTCGTGGCTCCGAGGTATAGCTGTTTTCAATCACTGGTTGGAAAACTTCCTAGCTGGAAAAGCCCTATTGTAACCCCCAGAGGAGGGTGCAGAGCATTCCCTTCACCTGTATTACAGCACTCCAGGTACTCCAGTGAGTCTGTCAGACCTGCCAACAGCTCACAGCGCTGCAAGACAGTGGGTCCTCATGTATCCTTCTTCCCAACCTCCATGGAGCAGAAGGCCTGCAGGCTTAGATTTTACTGTATAAAATAAGTTTACAGGATCCTTTACAGAACTCCCTACTCAGCCAGCTCTTCCAGGGATGTAATTTTATTGTGGGTTTTTTTTTTTTTTTTAACTCTGAAAATCCACGTGCCCTAAAAGTGAACATCTCTGCTCTCCCCTCCCTCGTGTGCGTACGGTTACCAAACATCTGCATTTTTACAGAACCAAGTTCCTGTGTTCACTCACTGCTGGTCCACAAGGGCTGGATAGTGATTAAAAATGCAAGTGTCTACAGAATAATAGGTATGTTGTGCTTCGATGCTTTGTGGCAGGTTCATAGATTTGTATCACAGGTGTATGGATGGATAGTGTACAAAATAAATAAACTTGCACCAAAGTGAGAGAAAAAAATCCCTTTTGTCTCAGTTGTGGCCAGTTTCTTGTCATACTTAGAGGGGATTTTGGAATGAATCTCTTCTACATGCTTGCTATGTGTTACTGGCTTTTTTTTCCCCTGTAACATCAAGACTAGGAGTCCCACAAGTTTGTCTGAAGGGGAGGTTGAAGAGACATATATGCCTTTCTCAGAGCTCAGAACGTGGATTCACTGCAAAATTAAGCCCGTTTGGTGAACTCCCTTTGCTTCTGTTTGCACTTTTTGTTGTCACTGGGCCGCCTTGCAGGTTCTGGTTTTTAAACTGGCTCATGTCTTCCTGTTTTTAAATACACAAAGGAAGGAGTTGGGAAGAGAGGGATGGGGCTGCCTGGGCATCACACCTCAGGTTTTGCACAGTAATACCACAAAATAAGTGTGTCTATCCTTTGTGAGTTTTGTCTAAATAAAATATATTTGTATTTGCTGTTGAGACTGACCATTCATCCCTCAGGCATCCTCTGTATCAACTAGTCTAGTGCAAATACACTGGTCTTTGTTAAAAGCCATCTGTGTCTGTTCTTTCGTGGTCTCACTTCTGCTGGTGCCTGGTGAAGGCAGATGGAGAGGTGACTGCCTGAAGGCTGAGAAGTGGTGGAGTCAACATCCCTGAAAGAGCTCAAAAATGTGTGAATGTGGCACTTGAGGACATGGTTTAGTGGTCAGCAGGGTGTGATCTTAAAGGTATTTTCCAGCCTTAACGATCCCATGATTAAGGAGGGGCGGTGTCACTCCAAACCCAAGGGTGATGCTCCCACCCTGGAACACACACATGGCCACTGGAGGGCTGAGAACTTCCAAAATTAAACTAAAAGCAGTCACAGAGCTCTAATAAGCACCTCACCCTGGAAAACCAGCACAGACTTAATTCCGCTCCTCCTCTGTCTGTAACTGTAACACCTCCCTCAGCTTTCCAGACGCTCCTGGTTGGATCCTACACGGGACAAAGCAGGGCTGGGCTGGAGGGCTGGAAAAGGCCGTGCACGGAGCCACTCAAGGACAGTTTGTGGGAGAGGATCCCCTCCCTGCGGCAGCACCCAGGGGAGATGAAAGGCTGTGTGTGCCTCAGGTGCTGGGGGCTGTGGCCATGGATCCATCCAGGAAATCGCTGCAGCAATTCCAAGAATGTGAGGCTGAAGCCAGGCCCAAGATAAGGCTGTTCACACAACACAGCTTTTATCAGCCTCAAGGCTAGTCTTCTGCTCCTTAGTTACACTGAGAGTGGTTCTCTGCCCTTATTGTTCCAGCCTTAAGAGCTGCAATAATGAGAGTTACTATCTCTCTGTCCTTCTCCAAATCTTCAGCTAATCATCCTTTAGCTCCCTGCCTGTCTCCTGGCCCCTCTCCCCCACCAGCCTCTCATTAGCAGACTCAGCTATCTCAGTCCCAGTCACAACCCTAAAAGAAACTTCAGCAGAGATCAAGGCCAGCTCCAGAGCAGTGAATATCCTGGGCTGGCTCTGCTGGAGTGTACAAAATCCAAAGCCAGGCACTGCAGCTTAACTGAGACAGGGAAGGCAAGGCTGGTCCTGCCCAGTGCCACAGGATGGGTCCTGCTAGCCCTGACAGCAGCCAGGCTCCCCTGCTGCCCACGTGGAAAGAGTTCTCCTATCTGTTTACGAGATCAGAACTTAAATCTCCAACATTCTGCCTGACAGACGGACTTGCAAGCAACTCCTCCAAAGGCAATGCCCGGGTTCTCGAGCCTCAGAGGCCTCCTGCAGTCAGTGAGGGGCCCCCACACCATCACAGCCTCCCAGCCACCTCCAGACACTGCAGGGCACTGGCTGAGCTTGGGATGGAGGAAAAGACCCTGAGCCAAGGAAAAAAAGGAGACTTACCCAGCACCCTTGGGCCACAGAGAGGCAAAAGCAGCGCCCAGGCAGCACCATGAGCAGCCCCAGGGTTTTGGGGTGTCTTACAGCAGCAGCTCAGGGCCCACCATCCTCACCTGGCAGGCTGGAGGTGAGAGCACAGGGAACCGGAGAAACCAGCGCCTGGTGCTGCTGATTCCCCGTTTATAGAGCAGCTGGAGCCCTGGGAGCCCCCCGTCCCTCCCGCTGCATCCGTGGAGCCAACACGCCCGGGCACCTCCCCGCCCCGAGGGCAGCTCCTGCTCCCCACCCTGGGGGCAAACACTGCTGGGGGGGCTGCAGGGCTGGGGGACAGCCAGCCCAGACCTTTGACACTCCACAGCCCGGGCTGGGCACCCGCCCGTCGTTTCTGGGGTCCCCTCGCGATGGGGGGGATGCGCCCCCTCGGGCTCCCGGGTGGGTCAGCCCCCTCCACAGCCCCTCCTGACCCGGCCAGGGCAATTCCCGCAGCCGGAGCCCTCCGTGGGGCGCGGGGCGATGCTGCGGGGCAGGAGGCGCCGGGCAGGAGCCGCCCCCACGCTCCCTCCCCATCTCCCTCCCCTGTCCTGGTCCGGGCGGGCGGTCCTTTCACAGCTCCTTTCACTTTCGTTTCTCCCTGAACGAGCAGCCCCGGGTACGCCCAGCCCAGCCCAGCTCGGCTTCACCTGGCACACGTCGGCACAGCTCGGCACAGCTCGGCTCGACCATGCCGCGGTTCAGCGTGGCTGAGACCAGGCGGTGGGGAGATCAGTTCGTGCAGTTCCTGCAGGACACGGGCCGGCAGCAGGAGCGTCAACGGGAAACTCTGCGGATCATCTACAACGTGGAGTTCCGGGGCAGGTGAGAGCCAGACCCGGGCAGCACCACCTGGGACGATCCCCCTGGCCAGCAGTTCCCTTTTTCCCCCTCGGCCAGCAGTTCCCTATTTTCCACCTCGGCCAGCAGGTCCCTTTTTTCCCCCTCGGCCAGCATTGCCCAGTCCTCGGACCAGCATCCCCAGTGCCTGGCCAGTGTTACTGGTCCTCAGCAGCATCACTGGGCCCCCAAGCCCCTCCATGTTGCCACAGCCCTGCTGGGATGATCCCAGCTCCGTGGGACCCCCACAGCTGCCTGGGCAAGGCCTTGGATACCCACTGCCCTGCACAGTGCCCACCTCACCCCGCTGACCCCACTCACACTGGCCCTTGTGCAACATCACCGCTGTTAATCCTTGGCAAAGCCGGGGCTCGGGGCACTGGGGGGCTGCAGGGTGGGCCCCGGGGTGCAGGAGGAGGTACCTGGGGAGTCATCGCTGCTGGGAGTGCAGTGGCTGTGCCTTGGAGGAGCCCCCATCTGCACCAGCTCAGCCCTGGGGGCTGACCCCTCTGGGTGGCATCTTCTGTCAAGGGTCTGGGGACAGGGAGAAGTCCCTGCCCCGCTGCTGCTTGAGCACTGGCAGGGACAGGGACTGCATGGGTGGCAGGGCCAGGCAGTGATGCCGTGGCACAGCTGGAATGGCCATGGCACAGCTGGAATGGCCATGGCACAGCATGGAGTTGCTGGGGCAGCCTGCAGGGATCTAAGATGGGCCAGTGGAAAGACCAAGCCCTTCTCCCTCTCCTGGCACAGAGGAGATCACTGAGAGCTCCCTCACCGCAGCCTCATTGTCCTGCTTCACCTTCCCTCCTGCCTCCCCCCAGCTGCCCGTGCCCCTGCCTGTGCCCTGCCACGCTCTGTCCCTCACAAACCCTCTCCCTTGTCTCTGCAGGACTGACACAAAGATTCCCAACTTCTCCTCCACTTTGTATGCCCTGAGGCTGACCCATCGGGCAGTGGTGCAGGGGCAGGTGGTGGAATTCAAGAAGGTAAGGGAGGCCCCTGGCTGGGGCAGCGCCCACTGGGACCCCCGGCAGGACCCCGGGGCTGATGGTGGCTGCTCCCCTCAGGTGAAGAGGCGCGTGGTGGTGGCAGACCAGTACCGGAGACCCAGGGCAGATGCACAGACATCAAAGCCCACCTCTGGCTCGGGGCAGCAGCCCAGCTCCACTGCACAGACGCCCCAGAGCTACGCCCAGCGGCGGTATGACCCACAGCCCCCTGCCCTGGACAGCCCCCAAACCCCCCCACCCCGGCGGGTAAAGCCTGACCCTCCCTCCCCGCAGCGCCGAGCACATCCGTGGGAAGCACGGCGTGGACATCGTCTCGGAGCACGACCAGGGCAACGGGGAGATCCGCTTCCCGGTGACGAGGGGCAAGGCCCGGGTGATCTCTGTCACGGTGCAGAACCGCGGGGCGCAGGCGGTGACGCTGCGGCGGCTCCTGCCAAGCTGCCGGTCCCGCGTGCTCTCCTTCAGCGACCAGCAAGGGGTGACACAGGGACAGTCTCTGGTGCTCCACCCAGGTAGGGTCCCCGTCCTGCCCCATCGCCTGCCTCGCTGGAGGGGCTGCAGGACCCAATGAAACCCTGTTCGCCCCGCAGGTGCCACGTACCCCATCCAGGTGCGGTGCCTCACCAGGAGGAACGGGCACTTCCCCGCCATGCTGGTGTTCGAGTTCATCAAGGAGCCGGACGAGCCCTTCAGCATCTCACGCTACGTCACTGCCATCGCCCAGAGCCAGCTGGCCAAGGACCTGGGGCCCTCGGCACCCTACCAGCCTTACCAGGACAGCCTCCAGCGCCCTGTCACTGTCATCACCGATGAAGGCTTCCCCCCCAACAGGTACGTGGCAGTCACCTGCTGCCATCCTGAGCAAAGGGTCCCAGCCTGTTCTCCGGCCAGGACAAGGCTCCATTCCTTGGGACCCAGCTGTCTGGCCCCCCAGGAAAGTGCTTCCTCCCTGTGTGCTGGCTGGTGACAGCAGGCTGGGGACACTCTGCCTCTTGGGATGGTCGTGGCCCAGGGGGAGCCTGGCCCTGCAGTCCCTGCAGCACTGCTGTCCCCTCCACCCAGCTCCCTGAAAAACGAGCTGGAGAGGGAAATCCCTCTGGACACCTACCAGTACCCAAAGAACCTCAAGCACACGATCCTGCTCGGACCCGACACCAGTGCCGGCTCCAACTGGACTGACATGTGGTGAGTACTGAGGGCTGGGGGCAATGCCAAGGTGCCCCCCCAGAGCCAAGGTGCCTCTGGGACACAGCGACATCCCTGCTGCCCACAGCTCGCTGCTGGAAGCACCTCTGCAGGCTGACAACTACCAAGAGAAGTTCCAGCTGCTGCTGTACCTGGAGGAGATCCAGATGGAGGTGGACATCCGGCGCTACGACATGCAGGACGTGACCATGGTGCAGGACAGGGGCCTGCTGGTCCTCAGTGTGCGTAGGGGAATCCGGGGGGGGTGAGAGGGGTGCTGAGGCTCCCGTGGGGGTCTGGCATCACAGCAGCCACTTGGCACAGGTGCCCGGCGTGACCGAGAACCGCCCGTCCGTGCTGAGGGGGGACCACCTCTTTGTCCACCCGAGCAGTGAGCGGAACCGCTCCCCGCTCGTCCAGTACAAGGGCTACGTGCACAGCGTGGAGCTGGATAAGGTCAAGCTGGGCTTCTCCCGCAAGTGAGTGATGTCCGGCTTCAGCAGCCCCACTCGGAGGTGCTGGAGGCCGGGAGAAGTTTGGGAAGGGCCGGGAGGGCACGGGGGGAGTGTCCCCCTGCCCTGCTCACACCGCTCCTTCCCAGGATGCTGAGTAAGTTTGTGAACAACCTCAAGTTCGACGTGACCTTCACCTTCAGCCGGCTGCCGCTGCAGGTCCAGCACCGGGCTGTGGTCCTGGCCATGCCCCGCGGCTTGTCCAGCCTCCTCTTCCCCTCCGCCTCCTGCAACATGTCCCTCTTCCCAGGCCCCTTCCAGCCCCGGTGAGTCCCCAGTTCTGTGGGCCGGGAGGGTCTGAGGGGACGGAGGGGCAGGGACCCGGCAGCGCAGCCTCTGCTCCCGCAGGTGGTTTGACCGCAAACTGCAGGCGAACGAGGAGCAGTGCAGGGCCGTGACCCACATCGTGACGGGGATGTCCCGGCCGGCCCCCTACCTCATCTTTGGCCCCCCCGGCACCGGCAAGACGGTCACTGTGGTGGAGGCCATCAAGCAGGTGAGCAGACAGTGCCCAGGTCCAGCCACCGGACATTGCTGCCCACCCTGGCCCGTGGGGCTCAGTGCTGTCACCCCCTCCTGCCACCCAGGTGTGGACGTGCTTCAAGGACGCTCGGATCTTGGCCTGCGCCCCTTCCAACAGCGCCGCAGACCTGCTGTGCCAGCGCCTCATCGTGGACATCGCCCCTCGGAACATCTACAGGCTCATCGCCAGCTCCAGGAACTACAGGGAGGTGCCCGCTGATATCAGGGTAGGTCCCTGGCCCTCCAGCCTGGCATCCTGCCAGCACATCTGTGTTGGCAGCCCCCAGGAGAGCTGGAGCCCACCCAATGCCTGCATTCCAGCCCTGCTGCAACTGGGATGACGAGCAGAGCGTCTACGTGTACCCGAGCAAGGAGTACCTGATGCGCTACCGCATCCTCGTCACCACGCTGGTGCCAGCAGGAAGGTCAGAGGAGCTGGGATTGTCCCCAGTACCCCAGGAGGGAGGCTGCACCCAGGGGCTGCTTTGCAGCCAGGCTGTGAGGGCAGCCCCTCTGGGATTCAGCAGGGAGGAGGTGGAGGAGGGCAGGCAGTAGGGGGGACCTCTCCTTTGCAGGAGGATGAGGATGAAAGGGAGGGGAGGAAGGATGGCCAGGTAGGGCAGGGCTGCTGAGGCAGCCTCATTCCACCTCTCCTTCCAGGCTGGTGTCAGCCAACTTCCCCCCTGGGTTTTTCACCCATGTCTTCATCGACGAGTGTGGCCACGCAGTAGAGCCCGAGAGTGTGGTTGCCATCGCCGGTGAGTGGTGCCCGGCTGCTGTCTGGGGGACCAGCGATCTCTGCACGGCCCCAGGTCCCCCTGGTCCCTCACTGAGCTCTCTCTGTTCCCAGGGCTCCTGACTCCCATGGACGAGAAGACCAACCCCAAAGGGGGGCAGCTGGTGCTGGCAGGAGACCCCAAGCAGCTGGGCCCTGTCCTGACCTCCCCACTGGCCATGGAGCATGGCTTGGGTGAGTGGGGAGCGGGGTGGGAGCACTGCTGGTGCTGGGGGGGCCGAGCAGCCACGCAGGGAGCCATGGGATCTCACTGGCACAGGCACCTCGCTGCTGGAGAGGCTGATGCTGCACAACCCCCTGTACCAGAAGTCCAGCGAAGGATACGACCCACAGTTTGTCACCAAACTGCTCTGCAATTACAGGTAGGGACAGGGATGGTGCAGGCAAGAGGTGGGGCTGCTCCGTGACCACAGCCCCGTCCAGGATCTGTGCGTGTGCCCCAGCTGGTGTGGGAGATGGGAGTGCAGCTGCTGTCCTGGGTGCACAGCGCCTGGGAGGGTGCTGAGCCCACGTGGCACCCACCCTGGTCACCATCCTGGCTCTTCCAGGTCCCACGAGGCCATCCTCAGGATCCCCAACGAGCTCTTCTACGACAGCGAGCTGAAGGCGTGCGAGGGTGACGGGCTGGATGTCCGGAATTTCTATTGCAACTGGGAGGAACTTCCCAAAAAAGTGAGGGGTGAAGCAGGGAAGGGGCTGGGGGAAGCCCCGAGGTGCAGGCAGAGCAGTGACCAACATTTTCCATCCCCAGGGCTTCCCCATAATCTTCCATGGGGTCTGTGGGGAAAACCAGAGAGAGGAGAAGAGCCCCTCGTTCTTCAACACGTCTGAAATCGAGGTGGTGGTCGACTACCTCAAGAAGCTGCTGCAGAGCCAGGGCAAGAAGGGCTGTCCCACTGTGTCCCCCAAGGAGATCGGCATCATCTCTCCCTACAGGAAGCAGGTGAGGGGCACAGCTCTGCAGGCAGGGCACGGGCACAGACCTCCCCAGGGGACATTGGAAGGGAAGGGCAGCCCTGGGGCTGACACACAGGAATGGCTCTGTGGTGGCTGGACTTTGCCACGTGCCTCCCCCCCAGGTGGAGAAGATTCGGAGAGCCATCACTTCCCTGGACCCCGTCCTGAAGAAGCTGGCGGACATCAACCAGCTGAAGGTAAGCCCTGGCCATGGAGAGGAGCCCACCCTGCTGCAGGAGGAGGCAGCCCTGCCAGCCCCAAGCTGGGGGTGCTCCCAGCCCCTCACCTGCTGTCCCCACCCCAGGTGGGCTCCGTGGAGCAGTTCCAGGGCCAGGAGCGGCGCATCATCCTCATCTCCACCGTGCGCAGCTTCAGCACGAACCTGTGGTTCGACGAGACCTTCAGGCTGGGCTTCCTCAAGAACCCCAAGGTACTTCACTGCCCCGAGCAGACCCTTCTCCTCCCCTGGTTCAGGCAGGCAGGCAGGGCTGCTCCAGGGGCTCGGTGCCACAGCAGAGCTGCCTGCAGCGAGGTGGGGCTGAGGGGGGCAGTGAGAGGTGCTGCAGCCACGTAACACCCCCTCGGCCTGTCCCCTTCAGAGGCTCAACGTGGCCCTCACCAGGGCCAAGGCTCTGCTGATCGTGGTGGGCAACCCGACCGTGCTCAGCGAGGACGAGCACTGGAACAGGTGAGCTGTTCCTGGCCCCTGCCACAGACTCCTGGCACCGGCGCCTGCTCTTCCCTGCTGCTGGCAACGCACCAGTGCTGGGGAGCAGCGGGGCCAGTGCCACCTCCTGCCCACCCTCCCCTGGCTCTGTGCCCGCAGGTTCCTCACATACTGCAAAGAAAACGGTGGCTACACAGGATACCCCTCCGAGGATGAGGGCACAGACCAGGACAGACTCATTGACGGCCTCCAGGGGCTGCGGCTCAACAATTAACAGCCAGGTGAGCAGGGCTGGGAGCTGCCAGTGCCCTGGGGCACCAGCACAGCCAGGGTTAGGGTTAGAGGCACTGGGAGGCTTCTCCTGCCCCTAGTGTGATTTTGGACGGGTCCTCACTTAGAGGTTGCCTGTCCCTATCCCCAGCTCAGGGGCCAGTTCTGCCATGAGGTTTCTCTGCGGGAAACCCACGTGGGAAAGGAGGAGAAGCCCAGTGAAGCTCCATCCCCCTCAGCCTGTCCCCTGGCCTGCAGCAGCCCTTGCACTCCCCCTGCCTCCGTGCCTTCCTGCAGAGCTGGGGCTGAACCCACCGGACCAGAGGATACTGCTGAGCCTTTTCTGGCAGCCAGGAGCCCTGGCACAGACCACAGAGCAACCCCCTCCCCTTACAGAGCGGGACCACCCAAGGACTGGACTGGGACCATTCTCCATTTTAACGAGTTTTTGACACAGCTGTGGCAGAACAATTCTCTGTGACTGGTCTCACTGTTACAGTGAAAGGTTTAAGCACGAGTCCAGCCTCCAAAGAGCATCACTGGGTGCACAGGGGAGCCCAGTGCTGCTGTAGTGGGTGACTGGGGCAGGCAGGGACCTGGCCAGGCACAGGGTGGCTCAGCTCCTAACTGGGCAGCTGCCTGGCTTGAGAGCTGGCACAGCTGTGCAGGCACTTTGTTTCCCTGGAATAAATATTTAGAGAAAAACAGTCTCTTGAGTCTGGGGCTCTGCCACAACGACGGGGCTGCTGGAGCAGGGACAGCCTCGCTGCCAGCGCTGTCCTGACCTGCTCCAGAGCCACGATGGCTCCAGCAGGGACAGCAGTGCCCATCATCCGGGGACTGGGTACAGCTGGGAAAGCTCCTGCCCAGCCCTTCCCACATAAGCTGCTTCCTGGCTCTTACCCAAGCTCATTGTGCTGAGCCCTGATGCTGTTGCAGCAGCAGCTGAAGCAAGAGGAGCTGTGGGACGAGCAGGTCCCCACCCTGCAGCACGGGGCCTCTGTCCCCAGGCAGGAGGCTGGAGCAGCGAGGGGCTCAAAGGAGAGCCGGAAGGATGCCACGCAAGCAGGGTTCCAATTACTAAAATACCAGTTTGCATTTATTCTCCCAATTACACAGTTCAGCTTACTGGTGCCAAGTCCATGACCGAGGCAGACTCGAAGGCGGCGATACCGGCAGGGCTGGGCACACATCCCGGGAGCAGAGCGCTCCTGGCAGCAGCTGAGCCCGGCTCTGCTCACAGACAGGGCTAAAGCTGCCCAGGCAAGTCTGTCTAACACTGGTGTGTGCTGCCTGCACGGCACGGGGGAGCGGGCAGAGCACCCCGAGGGCCCAGCACACCCCGCGCATGAGCTGTGGGCACCTCCCGCTTCTGCCCGGAGCCGGGGAGGGAGGGTGAACACCACGGCAATCCCCACGGGAAAGGCAAAACCAGGGAAATCAGTACAAAACGGGGCGGCACGGGGAGCGACACGAACACCCGGCCCTCGGAGAGCGGCGGGTGCTGAAGGCACTGGCCCCTCGTGGCCCCGGAATCCCGCAGGGACACCCCGCGGGCGCGGGTGGCAGCTCTGGTGCAGAGGGTTCAGGGCAGGTACCGGCACCTCGAGGTCCCACTTGGGCTGCCAGTGCTCCCTCCCCGGGCAGGGCAGGCAGTGCTGGCGCAGGGGCCGGGGGGCTGCTCAGAGCAGCGGGCAGGCTCTGCGCTTCTTGTTCTTGCGGACCTGCAGGCCGGCCCGGGTGGCCATCTCGAACACCTCCCGCACCCCTTCCTTCGTCTTGGCCGAGCACTCCAGGTACCCGAAGGCGTTGATCCTGTTGGCCATGTCCCTCCCCTCCTCTGGCTTCACCGGCTCCTAGCAAGCAGGAAAAAAGAGGGGTTTGGAAACGTTGCCAGGGCGCAGCAGCGACTGCCCTTGGGCAGAGGTGGTGGGACCCCTCTGGGCTGCCCCCACCTGCTTCATCTTGGCCAGCTCCCGCCGCGTGTGCTCGTCGTTCCGCAGGTCCTTCTTGTTCCCCACCAGGATGATGGGCACGTTGGGGCAGAAGTGCTTCACCTCCGGCGTCCACTTCTCAGGGATGTTCTCTGCAACCAGCACAAGAGGGACCCACGAGCTGAGGGGCTGCTCTTCCCCAGCCTCCCCGCAGGGACCAGCCCGGGCTTTTTGCCATAGGAAGCAGGGAGAGCTCCCCCACAGCATCCTCTTCTCCCACCACCTCCACCCAGCCAGCAAGTTCCCAGCATTTCCCTGGAGTGCACACAAAGCCAGGGGATGAAGGGGAAGCTCTGGCATCCCCGGGAGGCAGAACAGAGGTTTCCTGGACTGCAGGGCTATTCAGCAGCAGCACCCAGCCCTGTGGGAGCCCCAGGTCCCCCCTCACTCCCTGGTCCCTACCGAGGCTGTCCGGGCTGTCGATAGAAAAGCACATGAGGATAACGTCGGTGTCTGGGTATGAGAGGGGCCTCAGCCTGTCATAGTCCTCCTGTCCCGCCGTGTCCCACAGGGCCAGCTCCACCTGGGAGGGGAGAGGGGATAATGACTCGTCAGCTCTGCAGACCAGGAGTGACAGATTTATCTTCCTCAGGTATAGCTGTGGGTCTTCCTCAAAACTGGGGCAGGTTCAGGGTGACCCAGGAAGGCAGGAGCCACACGGACCAGCCCTGGTGGCAGCACTGGGCGGTGGCACTGCCAGCGTGGGACCATGGGAGAACAAGGACAGGAATGATGATGGCTCTTACCTGCTTCCCATCTACCTCTATGTCAGCAATGTAGTTCTCGAACACAGTGGGCACGTAGACCTCGGGGAACTGGTCCTTGCTGAACACGATCAGCAGACACGTCTTCCCACAGGCGCCGTCTCCCACGATCACCAGCTTCTTCCTGATGGCTGCCATCGCTGCAGGGACAGGAGCAGGGCAGTGGGGCAGAGCAGCATGGGCAGGCCACGCTCCCAGACCCCCAGAGTCCTGTGCACAATGGCCAGGGAGGTACCGGACACAGACACCTGGGGCACATCCCACTGGGAACAGCCAGTGATGGCCAGGGCATCCCCCCAGCCCCCCGCCAGCTCCTGCACACACCAGCTCATGGGCACTGCAAGAACTGGCCTGACTGGAACCATCTACACCCAGCACTGCTGCTGTGGCTGGGAGAACCATCCCAGCCATGTCCCAGCCGTGCCAGTGCTGGTGGCTGCACACAGGGACCTTGTGCGAGGTGACAGACTGCTCTGCCTTACCCACCCCCTCAGCCATCCAACCCTCCCTGGCCTTTGCTGTGCTGCCACCCGGGTAAACTGGATTTTAGACAACCCCCAGAGTGCCACCAACACGCTGGCTTTATTTTAGATTATGAATTCCTCAGGGCAGGAACCGCGCTCCAGGTCTCCCCCGGGAGCGGCTCCCAAATAATCCGATCAGCAGCTGCAACGCGCCAGGCTGAGCTCCTGGAGGTCCAGGCAAGCAGGACCCGTGTGCCTGGCACCCAGCACCGGGCTGGCCCCGTCCCAGCCTGCCTGACAAAGGAGCCTTTGCCACGGAACCAAAAGAGCCGACGCTGGCACTGGTAGTGGGAGAAGCTGCCAGGCATCCCTCGGCAAACACGGGCAAAACCCAGGCAAAAGGGTAGCTTTCTGCCCCAAGGGAAAAGGATGCAGCCCTGCAAGGAAAGCCATGCCTTTGCATCCCTCAGCTTCCAAAGGGGATTACAGGGGAGCCTGAGAATCGCCCGGGACAATGGCACAAAAACGCCTGGCGCAGCATCTGAATGAGGCATGAGAAAATCAGCCGTGGTGGGATCACATCCCTCCCAGCCTCGGGACCAGAAATCTCTTTCCCATCCCCAGCTTCCCAGACGCCTCAGTTCCAAGAGCCTGACCCACTCCTTAAGTGCCTTTGGCACATCACCAGCTCCCTGTCCCTGAAGAGATCCCGGGAATGATGCAAGCTGACAGCTCAGGGTCTAATCCCTCAAAATTCACACTGCTCTGGGGGAAATTACAGGTGGCCAGAAAACTGCTCCTGAAGGCAGGGACATGCCACATCTCCCCACCAGCCCTGTCCCTCTCCACACCCCCTGCCTGGGCGGCAGGATGGGAAGGGTCTGGGATTCTGGGAGCCTTCGGGAAGGTTCAGGGGAAATAACCCTGTGGGAAGGCCACAAACACCAATGCTGCTGTGTGGAACTGCAAGTGGATCACACTGGGATCACCCCAGGATCATGCTGGGATCATCCTGGGAAGGTCAGGACATCATAAGCCTGGCATTTAACCAGGGCACTGAGCTGAGCCTTAACAAAGGCCGGGCATGGGTCACCACACCCACACCCCGAGCCAACAGAAAAGGGAGGAAAAGGGGAAAAACCGGAGTGGGGCCACATCATAATTAACGGCAAGTGAAGGATCAAGAAGCGAGCCCAAGTGGCTGGCTCGCATTCCAGAGGCACGCTGCAGAGCTCCTCTCTCCCATGGCATGCCTGGCAGGTCACCCCTGGCACACAAACCCTGGGGACCACCCCAGTCTCACAAATCAAACTGCCCAATGGTTTGGGCAAAAGAGAGACAGTTTTCACCCAAATCCAGGCCAGGCCCTGCTGGTAGCCATGGATCTTTGCAGATTCCAGGCACTTTTGGCTCACAAGCTGAGGCAGGAATGGTTTGTGGCTGCTGAGTGCTGTGAGCTGTTAATAGAAATCGTAGGCTGGCACTTGTAAGGTGAGAAGAGAGAGGATCAAGGGCTGCATCCGGCAGGATCCAGCACTCCTCAGCCAGGAGCCTGGGGGTCAGGCACACATCCCAGTGGAGCAGCACGTCCACAGAAAGGGTGAGCACGTTTGTGCAGCACTGAAGCTGGAGAAAAAAATAAAGGTGCCCTAAAGGGTCCCTTTTAGGGAGCAGAGGGCACTTTTTAGGGAGGCAGGGGCTGAACATGGAGGGTGAACAGCTCCTATCCCTATTCCTTGTGCCCTCCTGCTCCTGCCTGTGCCAGCTGGGCCAGGGACACCCACTGTCCCAGCAGGGGCAACCAGCCAGGAGCTCATCCCGAGGAGACACAGAGTTTGTGTTATGGAGGCAGATACAAGGGCTGGAGGAGTCTGCTGGCTCCTGCACACTTGAGGAGGACAACATATCCCTGGGGACACAGAAATGCATCATCATTAGAATCACAGAATCATTAAAGTTAGAAAAGACCTCCAAGATCATCAAGTCCGAGCCTTGTTGCAAACCATCCTTCTCCTCAGACCAAAAGCTCATCCTCCCTCCTAGCAGCACATCCAGAGCAGGAGAAAAGGAGAGCTCAGGGGCAAAAAAGTCTGTTTACTCAGGCACGAAGCTCCTTCGCCCGCAGCAAAACACGACTTGCTGCTTTTCGAGTCCCTATCTCCAAGAGGGATGGAGGAGGAACAGCAGTTTGGGCTGTGCCATTATCTCACCCACG